AAATGGGTTCTCTGACCGATTGAGCACTAGATCGTGTTCTGATTGGTCGAATACGTGAGCCAACCACCTTCTAATTGGTGGATAGACCGGGGAACCCACGAGTGACATAATAGTGGTATCTGAAGTTTATAGAGAACACTTATCAGGCCTGTATTCTTGCTCAGCAACCTCGTCACATCCAAAATTGTCAAAACTATGAACCTCCTCTAACTAACGTGATCTTCACTGAGAAGGACATCCGTCAACTCTTGCACAAGACAAACCCCTTCAGCGCGTTGGGGCCAGACGAGGTCCACCCAAGGATCCTGAGGAAAAAGTTGCTCACATTGGCCAAGCAGTTTCACATGGCGTTTCATCACTCTGATCGGTGAAAACAACCCTCCCTCTGTTTGGAATGAAGTGACTCATGCCAATCTATTAAGCTGGTGACCGACAATCGCTCAGCAGCTACAGGCCCATTAGCCTCACTAGCGTACTGCACAAGGTGACTAAACGCATTCCGAAGCAGACCATCTTAAATTACCTCACCAACAACAGCTTGATATCCTTAGTGCAACGCGGACTCCACCCAAACATGGTGGTATTTGTGGATGGCCTAACTCAATCCCAAGATGGTCTCATAACGGATGCCATATTTATCAACTTCTCAAAGGCGTTCGACCAAGGCCCACACGTGCCACTGCTTCACAAACTCAAGTCTTATGGGATTCAAGGGGAAATTCTACAGACCATTCTGAGTGAAAATAAGCTCGGTCTACTCTTCTTGGCCGCGGTCTCAATTGGGGTTCTTCAAGGGCCCATTTTGGGACCGCTTCTGTTCCTAATCCACACCAACAACCTTCCAGATGTTCTGTAGAGCTCATGTCTACTTTTTGTGAACTTGAAATCTTGGGGTTTAAATACCAGTGCCCTCCAAATGGAGGTAGACGCCGCGAAACAGTGTTCGTTGGACTGACATCTTCCATGAAATGACGAAAATTGCGTCCACAAATCATTCAGAAGAAACTCAGTGAACGACTTTGCGGTGCATGTGAGAATGGACCGGAAGAATATGGATACATACTAACAAGGATTAAGGTATCTTGCTCGCTTTTTAATGTCTTTCTCACTGCATCATAAAAATTGGCCCAAAAGGCATTCCCCGTTCTCCAGGTAATTCAGTGACCTTCTCCCGTACTACGCGTACGGACTTTTAGACACTCGGACTGCTTCTTGAGTACGCCTACCAAGTTGTCTACTCAGGACGCAAGAAAGACGTAACCCTCGTTAAGCATGTACAACGAGCTGCCGGCCTTAAATCTGTTGATAATGAAATGCGTCTTTCGGTGCTTGGCCCATTTCTCCTGGAGTATCATCACCTCCGAGAAAACCTAATGCTTACGCCCTGTTTGAACAAGGTTTGGCCAACTGTTTTTTCACTGTCGACCTAACCAACACAGCGGGGATGTGATAAAAAGGTTTTCTAACGCGCACCATTATTGTTAAGTGGAATGACCATCCAATGTTTGTTCACGCTGCATCGAGTGCCAAGTTCAAAGCACTTCTAGGCGTTTTTTGTATGATTCGTCGCGCTGACAAGACTACCACCACGCCCTGAGAACCTAAAGAGCAATCATACCCCTTTTTTCGCTGTCTTTCAGGTGAACAGAAACCACTGAACGACGAGAACAAACCCGACTCGGGAAGTTTGGGCGAAAGCCACAGTCCTATGTGTCGATCCGTTAACCCATCAACCAACTGCATCCTGTTCTTTTTTTAAAACGGTTACACGGATTGATACACGGGATCGAGGTTTTCGACCAAACCTCCCTAGTCGGGTTTGTTCTTGTTCAGCTGTTTCTGTTCACCCTAAAGTCATTTGCTTGTCAGGACCGTAATTGAGTCTTCACGGGGTTATGTTTCCACCATGAAAACACGCACAGTGGGATTGTGATTCACCGAAGGTATCGGTGCATGATGATTTTTTTTAGCCGCAAAATAGATAGAAATCTGATGTTCAGAAGCCCGGCAAACAAGGATGTACATCCTCACCAAGACATGCATATATTTGTTCGCTTGGGAGTGAGATGGTTCTGTGGTTACGGCGCTACTTTACTGGCCGCATGGACCGTGGTTCGGACCCGACCTCTCTCTCTCTCTTGACTTCCTCTGTCTAAACTTGGGCAACCTGGTAGTATCCCAGACCTTGCGCTTTCTTCTGGTGGCATGGCAGTTAGACACCGAGTGGGTGCTACAGCTGGCTGATTTTCAATTAACTGTGAGGCCTCAGGTGAAACGTACATCTACGCGGTTCGAGAAGTCTGGTGGGTCAAAAGATCTGAGAAAATGGAGTTCCATCAGATAACGCAATGTTCACGATGCGCGGGTGAGTGCGCACGTAATATGACAAGTTGGCGAATATTGTTGCTCTAGCGGGAAATTTTCAAAGACGTTTTTAAATCCGCACCCGAAGCTGTTATCTGGTCCTCGTGGTCTAGCCTAACTGCTGCAATGACCCTTATGATATACTTCGTGAAACAACTCACAAAGATTCGAACATACCAAGATACGCCACTGAACTCAACCTTACTAAGAGTATTTGTCTTAACTAAAATCGAGAGGCACGGATATCGGTGACCATCTAATGCTTTTATGTGTTGACCACAACCGTTTCTTTTCAATACCAACTTCCGAAACAACCAATGTTTCCTCGCCACACGTTGTTCACTACGTTGTTGGCAACTTCTAACAAAGACCACGTTGCCACTATCTATGGACAGCGTGGGTGAATTACTAATTTTTACTCGTCCTGGAGCATCTATCTGAATTAAGGACAGGCGCTTGTTAGGTGCTGCTTTTCCTAGCACTTTTAAGGGCTCGAAAGACACGCAGATTTCGTCTGACAATTAAAAAGCTTTCGGGCTATGTTTTGAATAAACCCTTTTGATATTGGCTATTACCGGGGATTTGAGAGATGCTAGGCGATCTACTACTTGAACGGCACCGTAAAGTGGATTTGGGCTTCGAACTAAAGCAACGGTCTACGGCTGCTTAAAACTTGGACACCTATTTCTCTTGGATCATAGCAAGAAGTCACCCAACTAACATAGTGATTACAGCGCAAATTTACTGGCCGCATGGACCGTGGTTCGGACCCGACCTCTCTCTCTCTCTTGACTTCCTCTGTCTAAACTTGGGCAACCTGGTAGTATCCCAGACCTTGCGCTTTCTTCTGGTGGCATGGCAGTTAGACACCGAGTGGGTGCTACAGCTGGCTGATTTTCAATTAACTGTGAGGCCTCAGGTGAAACGTACATCTACGCGGTTCGAGAAGTCTGGTGGGTCAAAAGATCTGAGAAAATGGAGTTCCATCAGATAACGCAATGTTCACGATGCGCGGGTGAGTGCGCACGTAATATGACAAGTTGGCGAATATTGTTGCTCTAGCGGGAAATTTTCAAAGACGTTTTTAAATCCGCACCCGAAGCTGTTATCTGGTCCTCGTGGTCTAGCCTAACTGCTGCAATGACCCTTATGATATACTTCGTGAAACAACTCACAAAGATTCGAACATACCAAGATACGCCACTGAACTCAACCTTACTAAGAGTATTTGTCTTAACTAAAATCGAGAGGCACGGATATCGGTGACCATCTAATGCTTTTATGTGTTGACCACAACCGTTTCTTTTCAATACCAACTTCCGAAACAACCAATGTTTCCTCGCCACACGTTGTTCACTACGTTGTTGGCAACTTCTAACAAAGACCACGTTGCCACTATCTATGGACAGCGTGGGTGAATTACTAATTTTTACTCGTCCTGGAGCATCTATCTGAATTAAGGACAGGCGCTTGTTAGGTGCTGCTTTTCCTAGCACTTTTAAGGGCTCGAAAGACACGCAGATTTCGTCTGACAATTAAAAAGCTTTCGGGCTATGTTTTGAATAAACCCTTTTGATATTGGCTATTACCGGGGATTTGAGAGATGCTAGGCGATCTACTACTTGAACGGCACCGTAAAGGAGCCACCTCACCCGGGAAATAGGATTTCGCAATGGGGGAACAATCTTACTACGTTCCAGCTAATCCGATCAACTGGTTCGAGTGGTGTTGGTGTTAGTAAAACTGCATCTGAAAAGGATGGGATCTCAATTCATTCACTGGAGCAACGTGAACGGTGGACTGAGCACTGAAGGTCAGTTCACCCGGGTCCCATCACTTCACCTCCCAGAAGGACCAAATAAATATGAACATCATAAAAAATCGTCGATGACGACGAAAGTCGGTGCAATTTCATTACTGTAGCGTAACAAAACACCCGTTCTACACGGTTTACAGCCTACTTTCTTCGAAGGTGGTAGGTCCGTTTTGGCTAACCTAACACCCCTACTCCAAAATACCTGGGACGAGGCAAGAATTGTAACATAATGGAGCGTTTCGGTGATGATTCATGTATTTGAAAAAGGTTTCAGAACATCTTGCGAAACACGATCTGTCGCATCCGTCTGGTGCCAGTAACTCCCAAGATGCTCTATTGTATTATCTCGCGAAGATTGACCCATCATCAGGGGTCAGAGTCGCGAGACTCAAGACGGGTTTCATCCTGGCCGAGGTTGCATTGCTCTTCCTGCGGGCGCCCTTGTCTGTCGGAGCCTCACTGGCCAAGCTTTCATGGTGTCACTCTGACATCCTATCGTGATTTATACAAGCACGCAAGGTATGCTGCCAGAGCTTGTTCCTATCCTCGCAAAGTGAACTGCTAGCTTCCTCCTGTTGCTCCTTCGTAAAAGGCTACTCTTAAATAATTTCCCATAGTTGTTCCGTGAGTAAGCACGAGTGTTCAGCGGTCACCAATGCTGGTGTTTCCTTTACCTCATTTGTTTCCATCACTTATCTCCTGAGATGATAACTTCTCTGCTTTTTGTAGCTCTGACGACTTCGACGTTTCGTTTAACACCTCCTCATGAATAGTCAACATTCTCGTGCAATTTAAGATGCATTCTGGAAAGTCGTAGTACCTGATCTCTTTATACGCCCCCATGATGTTAACCGGTGAATGGAAAGAACAAATTAAACAATTACTTGGCGATCGAGACCGACTGCAGAAGACACAGTTTGAATATGTAATAACTGATTGTAAGACTGTCACTTTTTGTGTGATCGATAAACTAGATTCTAAGCTCAGGGATCGTGTTGGGCAGCTCACGAAAGAATATAATAGGGTTTCACTTGAGCTCAAGTCTTCCAGACAGGAAAATTTGGATTTGTCATTAAAGCTAGAAAAAAGGTGAGTTGTTCACATAATTTATTCCGCAGCAATGCTTTCATGTCGCATGACTTTGAGCAAAAGGTATTCCGTCTGCAAGAGGAAGTAACTGAGCTCCATCGTCAGAAAGGTGATGTAGGTCCATGCAATATCAGCTGGTTCATTTGAATGTTGCAGTTGGCGAGCAATGTAATTGATTTGAGCAAATCTGTTCAGGAAAAGGATAAGCTGCTATCATCCGTGCATTCGAAGTAGGGTTCACCACGTTTTTCAGTCAAGTTTTCAGATTGTCAGAATTAGAAAATGAAGCCAGGAACCTACAACAGGCAAATATGGGCTATCTAAACGAAATACATAACTTGGAGCGTGCTAACAAGGTAAGTTTGAAATTCATACACAATAGTCTGCCAGCTGTTACGAGATGAGAAAAATGCCATGTCGGAAACCCTACAGGCTGTTCAAGTCAAATGCGCCGAACTGGAAGAAGACAAGTGTAGACTAATTGAGCGTATTAATAAACTTCAAAGTGTGGTTGAGCGTCTGAAGAATTTGGAGCACGATGTAAACTACAGGTAACTGTTGTCATATTTACGAGCGTCTTTAGGAAGGCCCAAGAGACTATCCGGAAGCAACTGGCTGAAGCTGCTAGTTTATCGGTCGACGAGCCGTAAGTTTCTTCTACTTGTTTGCATGACGCTGAACTGCAGGCATAATATGGGGCCCCTGGTAGCTGCGGTCGTTCCGACTAAAGCAGTTGCAGAAGTTGTAAGTTTTTGGTCTCCTGTTATACCCACTATAAATAGCTTGCAAACGAGGGAGAAGTTAACAGTGTTCGTTTTACTCCTTCTGGAAATCTCTTCGGTTCGGCCGGTTTTGACAGAAAGCTCCGTTTATGGTCTGTTGTAGGAGGTAAGTCTCCAGGATATCGAAGCTAACCATGTTCTCCCAGTTCCCTCTTATTGTAAACTTTTTTCTACCAACCGCTGTCCTTATGTTTAAGCGAATTGAAGGTGTAAGCTAAATAACTGGTTTTCGATAGAAGTCGCGTCTCATCATCATTATCGACAACATGACACCAGTTTTCAACACCGATCTTTCGCTACTGTACAACCATGATTTATTTGAGCTTTATCGTAAAGAAAATAATAAAGGTGGACGGGAAAGGGCCTTAGTGCTAGCCTACTGCAACCAGTCCGAGGCGTCTACGCCCCTAGACTCTCATTCAGGCAATCGGGATAGAAACTGACAATATGATCGCCACTGACATCGGTATGAGAGACTCGGGGGGTCACCCCCAAGAATAGCCCGATAGGTTGCTGAGGAGCGCAAACCGTCATACCACGGTAGGGTCCAGTCTCTTCGTGACGACTAGATGCAAGGTATTCATGTTCACTATCATTAAAGGCAGTACGCTAATGCTAAATGTGGGTACTTAACTTCCACACAGCCGTAGAGTAAGGAGGCTCTAGTTAAGGAATGAGATGTCAGGGCTTGTTGCGGAAGCCCCACATTCCTAAGGACGACCATCAAAAGGGTAAGATTTATCAACACCTCCAATCGGCTTTGGAATAAACACATGGAGGCGTCATGTCGGAGTAGGATGTCTCACCGAACCTAAGCTCAGCACACAGCAATTCGACTAACGAGTGACTGTACGTTCACAATTTGAACCGGATCTTGGGTTATCTAGCCGTGTGCGAGGGGATCACAGGGACCTCATACAGAAAAGTGCTAAGACCCCATACCACTGATGTGAAGCAAGCTAGATGTGTTCACAACTTCAAAATATGTGTGCAAATCAGGGGTTTCCTTCACATCTCATCGTCTTCTTCCTTTGGGTTCATAGTTCTCATGTCACACCCTCATCCGGAGCAAAGCACTGTCTGGTATACTGTTAGGCTGAGACAGGGCCTACTCATTATTCGGGGTTCGATTTCACCCATGAACTTCTAGACAAGATTTGTCAACTTGATCTGTGCGCCATCTCGTATTGAGAGATGTTAGCATTAGCGATTGCTGGGCTCAGCTTTCAAGCGAAATTGCTATGGACCACATATTTATGGACCATCTCTTTTTTAGTCCATCATTAGAGCACTTGACGTGTAAACATACAAAGGCACAGTTCATATTTCAGTTTGATAGTACGGTATTAGGCAAGTAAACGTGATCTGTATTTTATTAACGCACCATATCGACAATCATTGTCAGAATAGACTCCAGTACGACCGTGATACTTTGCCACCGCACAACTACGGAGTTTAAGGCCCTGAATTAGACAAAAAATAGATTGGACAGAACAGGAACTCGGTACTGACCTGCGGGCCAGATCGTTGCTAAAGTAAATGAGCTGTGAAAAGCGCCATAGCACTTAACTGTGGGTAATCGGGAATGTGATATGATGTGGTCGTGATGCTCGGTTTTACCGTAATAATCTGAATCGCGATTCATTGAAATTAGGCCACATTATTAGAACCTCTCGAGGTGGGCTTCCATCACAGCCAGCGTGGTGCTATTAAACTGTCCACTCCAAGTCATATATTTAATGGCATCTGGAATTCTATTGCTTTTAAAAGTTTTTGGCATTTTTATTTAATGCGACTGTATATCATTTAAGCCTATTTCGATTCGTTTCTTGCAGGTAAGTGTGAACTGCGCTCGACACTAGTTGGATGCAATGCCTCAATATCTGCTATCGATTTTGACCCAAAGGTGAGTGAGAACCTACCTTTCAGTGCCGCGATACTTGTACGCATTGTTCTCATTCCCGGCACGCGTAATTTTCTTCCGGATGCCTTTTTGCGTTGCACTTGTCTTAAGCTGTTAGTGGCGATTCCTAATGTCGCAGTTCACATCCCTTCCTCTGCTGTTGTAGCACGTCATAGCTCTTTGATAATATAGTAATACACATCATTGTTAACGAAAGAACCATTCCTGGGAATACATCTGGTGGCTGCTGTCGGTGAGATCTCGGATAACTGCCACTATTCCCAGGCTTTCTTGACTTGACAATTCCAACCCCATTTATAGTTCCCATTCTAGGACCAGAGCGCTGGAATAGAATTCAATCTGTCCGCTTTGCGATTATCTGCCGTCACACTTCCGTTTGGCTTCACTGACATGAACCTTAGCAGGGTGGCATACGTACCAACATTATGATACTTAGATATTTTTGGTTGTGTTGGCTCAGCTATCCCCAACGGCCGAACATACGGATAGGTAGCTAGGAGTTTCTCGGGTGCATGAGGTTTCCGAATCGATGGTAATCCTAGGCAGATTTGGAGGAAGATGATTACTTTCAGCTTCTCTTGTCAACTTGGATTCAATTCATCACAATAAATGCCTGAAGGCGAGATGATAAATTTTTAGGCTCAATCGCCTCTGGTGCATCGCATTCGTTTATAGCGTGTTTTTGCGTCATACGCTGAAGATAACGTAATGCCATAACGCACTGATGACGTCTGCTTAATTGGTAAACAATCGTTTTCAAGCTGATTGTTAGCGAACTTATCAACAGCCACGTGTCCGGCAACGGATAAACGCACGTTCAATCATCATTATGTGCTTGTCGCTCATCATTGATCCGATAGTTAATCTACGGAACAATATATGCCACTCCTCCAACTTCCCAATATTATCTGGGCTATCTACCTGATTTAACAGACTCATTAGTAAGACTGTCTGGCACTTTTCACTCCAACTGTAATGCAACTCATTATTCACAGTAGAGGCCCCACGAAGAGAAACCGCAAATGCGTTCTCTGTCAGCCACAATTTAGTGTTTAACCGCCCTAAAAGAGAGTCCTTCATAGGGCGAGATGGCCCAGGTGGTTAAAGCGCAAATTTGCTGACTGGAAGGTCCTTGGTTCGAATCCGACCTCCGCCTCTCGACTTCCCCTGTCTAGGCTTGGGCAACCTGGCAGTAGCCCAGCCCTCGTGCTTCCTTCTGGTAGCATGGCAGCTAGGCACCGGAAGGGTGCTACAGCTGAACGCATTCATTCAATCCTTCATGAGAAGTCAGAAGACCCTTGGCTTATACCTTACCGAAAGTAGTCAACTTGCAAAAAGTGATTTGTTTCGCTGTTATGTCTTTTGTGTGCAAGAACCGTCTGCCAGGTTAGTCAAATTTAGTCAGCAACAATTGGAAAAGCGTAGGAAGGAGTCGACGTAAAATATGTCTTGTGTTTTTGTAAGAAAAACGTCTGTCAGGGAAACTGGGCTTTGTGGTTTTTCCTCAACTTCTGTTTAAGTTTTACGCCAACCTTAAAAACGAAGTGTATGTGGACAAAAATATTTGCGCCTGTCAGGCATGTGTTTTATAAATAGACGTGAAGTGGGACAAAACTTCTTCAGTTAGAGATGTTTCTCGGAAACACTTTCGCCACTGGTTTTCAATGGTTTCAGTTCTCCCAGTGCGTCATTCTTTTTAGATTTACTTTAGGCAGGAGTATCCAACTACCATACCTTCCAAAGATAAAACGGGGAGAACAGTCATTCCGGGACGAAATGGCTCAGTGGTCACAGCGCGAATTTACTGAGCGGAAGGTCCGTGGCTCGAACCTGACCACCGCTTCTCAACTTCTTCAGTCTAGGCTTGGGCAACCTGACAGTATCTCAATCCTCGTGCTTCCTTTGGGTGGCATGACAGCTAGGCACTGAAAGCTGAACGATTTTTTTCATTCCGGTCGCTTTTCGAGGGATCTACGCTTGTGGCTTGAGAAAGACTCCGTTTTGGAACACTCTCTTTGTCTCAGAATACTATGTTGTTTAGATTATTGTGGAACTCTTCAGAACTGTGAGCAAATGCTCTTGCTGTGTTTGCCTACGCAGATTTCCTGTGCAAATGTTCCTTGCATGCGTGTGATTGACTGTTCGCCCTCAAACAGCATGGCAGCGATCTTATCTGACGCCCGTTCTCTTTCGCTTTCTGCGTTTGAAAGGTTTTTTTTATGGAACTGACCTTAGTATTGCACGACGTTAGTTGCGGGTGGTTTTAGGATTTTTAGAATTTTCGTTCACATATTCTTGTTTGAACAGTTCTTTTATCCTGGCACAATTACGCTTTCAAGTTCACAGTAAAGTGGAGAAGTACCGATTCCGTGTTTCACTCTTAGAGCTCAGTAGCACTGCATATGCATGGTCTTGTGTGTGGGTCGTTGAACATGACCTGGTAGAAATACATATTCCACAACTGTCCACAATAATCCTCATTTGTGGAGAAAGGGGAAATAAAATCCCCCAGTTATGTTTCCTTTCAAGTCCAAATCCTCAGCGCAACCAGAAGCGAGGACGTTGACTAAGGTATTCCTAGATCGACCAAGCATGGACAGTCGAAGTGTCCTCGATAGACTCAAGCCACTGGTTTTCCTCCAGGAAGTGGTGCGTTGATTTCTGGTTTTTCCTCTAGATCGTGCAGGATTCGAGCACTGTTCACTGTGTGAGACCTACGGACACTCGACATAGTAATCCGCCCACGAGACTGTTGGACTAGCAGTTGTTTGGTTTCTCCTGAGAATCAATTCTCTTTGAGGGGTTACGTATCAGGTCGTGGATGACGGTAAACGTCGCTGTGGATTGATCTCTTCTGATAGGATGCTATAGCCGGATTTCCCTCTGATTTATCTTCAAATAATATTCATCCTCTATGGTAACCATGTTTTCGAATTGAACGCTGTAGGAGACGGTCGTCCTCGGGGCCTCCAGTGATTTCTCTTGTCGTGTTTGGACACTTGCCGATTCCAGACTACGTGTCAACCTCACTGGACATGCCAAGAGCGTTGTTTCTGCCAAATTTATTGGCAGCGCAAAGCGGGTTGTCACAATATCTGCGGACAGGACGATAAAAGTAAGATACTGGTAATTTATTCCTGAACTGCTCAACACGCCTAGTCGTCATGTTTTCACCAGATCCTCTGTCTT